TTTGTGATGATTATTTGAATAAAAGTGCCCAGACCCCAGCAGATGTTTAAGAAAGGTATGCTGAATCCATATGCAAACCCACAGATGTATAAAAAGACAGCTCAGGCACTCAGAGAATTTGGTGAATTCTCGATTTCATGATTATGTTGCACTAAAAACTAACTGTGTTAGAATCCATTTAAGTTAAGCTTTCTGGGATATCCACATTTCATGCCCTAGAGATTTGCTACAGAATTATTCTCAGCAGAGCAATTATAGGTGAGGCTGCCCTATAATGAGATATCCTTGCTAGTTCATTAAATAAACCCCCTTGGATGGGCTCCAAAATGGACCTGCCTCATATCAAATTCCATTACACTGGAAATAATCTTATAAGGCCCTGGTGTGGGTTCAATCGTCCTGGATACCTAATGTTTACCATAAAGGGAATGTGTTCTAGAACAATGATTCCCAAAACTGGTTCTCAGACCAATGATTTACTGATTCAAGGGGGAGAAATAATAAAGCCAATTTAGTCAACTTTTCATAAAATTAAAATACAATCTATTTAAAAAATACCCTTTATTCTGAGTATGCCCTTTCTGTTTTCTATCTTTTTTTCTTTTTGGTCTTAAACTGCTCCAGGTTTTTATAAATAATAATGGTATTAGGTGATAATTTTTATAATGTTTTTACACAATACAAATACAATGTCACCCCTCTTCCCCAATTTTTAAAAAAATTTTATGGGTCCTTGAAATCCAAAAATTCTGAATCACTGTTATAGAAACAACTGCTTAAAAGGAAATGCTTTTTTATGAAGTTAGTGTTGGGCATAGAACATTTTAAATTAGGGACCAAACTAGTACAGAGTTCTAATTAGAGGGCCAATCTGTTCAATGTTGACGTATGACAGAGGAGAGTATTCCTCACACTGCGACATGCACAAGGACCACTTTTGTGCATTTTAGCAGATCTCGATTCTGCAGGCCTGGCACAGTCCAAAGTTCTGTATTTCCAACACACTCACACTTAGAGTAGCAAAGGCACAGTGGTTAAGCTGGTGCGCTCTGAAAGCACACCACCCTGGTGCAGCTCCTCGCTCTACCATGTCCTGCTGCTGACCCTCAGCAGGTTACTTAACTCTTGGTTTTCTCATTAGTAACAAAATAATAATAATAATAATAATTCTATCTCATAGGTTTGTTGTAATAATAAAATGCAACCATGAATGCGACATTCCCAGAATGTAAAATACAGTACCTGACACATAGAAAGAGTTCCATAAATGTGAGTTATTACTCTGACTTTGCAGATCAGTGACTGGAGCGCCAAGATATTAGAAAAAGATTAGCACCTCCAGGGGTTCCTACGTGATGAAATCAGAAGAATTGAAAGTTCTGGTTGGTAAGGGATAAGCTGTGTGCTGTCTTCTTTGGCTAGTTCAGTGAGATTGTTTGAAGCTGTGAATCTTGAAGGGTGTATATAGATCTGTTCTAATTCGAAAGGTGGAAGCCTATTAATTACTATGATCCTATGAGTAAGATTGAAATGATGGTATTGTTTAGGTTGAATGGTACAAACTTAGAAGAACCTTTGATAATTTCTTGGAGTGTTTTTCCTATTAGTGGCAAGAAAAATCTGATTAGTACATTCTCAGACCTTTATGTTTTCTATAAGTCTTTACTTTGTTAATAATTTTTCTTCTCCTCATGAAAGTGCAACTAGAGCGTTTATTAATTAATCTCTTCCTATTTGTATTGACAGCCAAGCAATTTATTGAATAGTGGTGTGTACTGCCTAATATGCAAATACAACTACATGAGGCCAGTGCTCTGTATTTTTCCTTGTAGAACCCCTACTATTTTTATGGTGGGTGAATTTATATAGTTGTCCTTTAAAAATTACAGGGAATAGCATCTAGGCATGAAAACGTGATTTAATATGAATTTGTGTTTCTATCTTCAGCTTATACCTTTTGCTCTATTGGTGTGACTTCTGACATGAATACAAACACAAGAGCAAACGATAAAACTTAACCAAGATTGATGAGACAAGGACTAATCTTACCTACATAACTGGTTCAACTTTATATAGGGAAAAGAAGGCATGGAATTAATACTTTGTCAAGAGCACGAGGAAACCAACATGTAAGCAGAATATTCCTAATGGGTTTCTTAGAGGCATTGGAAATTATCATGTCAATTAATAAATATTCATAAATCTCCAGGGCCTTTCCCAGTTTTTACTTTCCTATTTCTTTTCTCTGGTCTTACCTTTAACCATAACCAGTCTTCTGTGTACTCGTACAGCTGACTTTGTACCACCCAGTTGGCAAGCATTTTGTATGCCTTACAATCTCTCCCACGTAATAAGCACTCTATGGGAAAGTTGCTGGTTATCTTTCAATATCCATTGACCCCTTCTTCCTCAGTATTAGGACTCTGAATGTTAGGGCCAACCGGAATAGACTATATTTTTCAGCCTTCCTTGTGGGTTTGTGTGGCCACATGATTAAATTTGGGTCAATGAAAAAAAATGGAAACGGTGTGTGCAACTTCTGTGAAGTGTGCTTATAGAGACACAGTGTGCCTCTCTCCTTCCTTTTTACCTCTTCTGCCTGGCTAGAATGTGGATATGATGATACTAAGGAGCTACCATTTTGGATCATGAGGTCAAAACCACATCTTGAGGAACTAAATAGAAGCTGGCACCTTGATGATCATATCATACCAGCACTTAACAACCTAAATTTGTGTGTGAGAAAAATAAAGTCCTATCTTTCTTTAGACACCATTATTTTGAATTTTCTGTCACTTGCAGCCAAAGCTAATCGTAACTTATACACACTCAAATATTTGTTGATGATCTGTCTCTCAGGTGTGATACTTAACATTATGCCATGGTATCTGTCATCCATCCTGTCTTACTCAAAGCCTTTAAAAGGGAGAGATCCATTAAAGAATACCTGAGAACATTCAGTATTGAAGAAGTTAAATTTAGGAGAAAAATTTAGGAGAAGAAAGGGTTAAAGGAGTTAAAAATCTTTTTCCATTCCCAGTAGCTTTGGTTTATTAAGAGACAGTCTAGGTAAGATTTCAAAGTTAACTTCCGAGATAATTAGACAAAAGCTAGGGCAGATGTCTAAGCTAAGTTTTGGTCCCGAAATAATTACCTTTGTTAATTACCAATAATTAGTGTCAGCATCCAAAGGTTTCCTAAAAACCCTTGGGAGGAAGGAGAGGGAGAGAGAGAGAGAGACAGAGAGAGAGAATGTGCACAAGAGAGAGTTCTGACTCTCTCAGAACACAAGCATTTGTTAGTACAATTATTTGGGGCCATTAAAACCTGATTCAAATTTTACAATTATGAACACTGGGTATTTTGGAAAGCTGGATATTTTCTTCCAGTTAATGTAGATATCTTTGGCTTCTACCTAGACTTAATATGAAGGTTGTATCATCATATATATATTGAAATTTATATCATTATTATAGATATTAAGTATGTGTTAAATTAATATATATCTTTTATTTTATGCCTTTTTCATTGCCAAAGTGATTACTTTTCTTTATCTATCAAATTATACCTTTAACCCTGCCCTTTACCCCCCTCGAAAAAATTTCAGCTGGAAATGGCCCTAGCAGAAGTGCCAAGGGTCCTTCCTGGCAACCTTCTTTAGCATTCTTTCCTCAGTCAGAGGTTGCTGAACTTTCACTCAAAAAATAGCAGAGTTCTCGGTGGTTTGTGAATAACTTAATCTGAGTGGGCGTGCTTTATATCGTTCACAAGTTTACATAGTGCATCACTCTTCCCTTCTTTGTGTAGTTGACCCTTTACGAGGACACAAGTATTTCTAGACACATCTATTGGTTTGCTAGCTCATCACTTCATATATCTAGGGGCCTCTTTTTTGTGCTTAGACTTTCTTTTTAATATTTCAGGGCACCATTGTCTGGTATTGTCCATTAGTAATTCACTGTAGAGGCAGTCATTTTAACTGGCAAGTAACCATGGAAATAATACTTTACTCTTTAAATCTCCATCACAAACATCTCACATTTGACTCCTGCTCATGTCCCCCTTCCCATGGTGGATCAATCACTCCTTTATGCCATCTCTATTTAATTGTTTCCTGCTTTGTTGCCTTCACCAGACTGTTAGAGGAAAGGGACCATGTCTTAACTCATTTTTTATATCTCCAGTGGCCACCAGGCATATCTAGAATGCATTGAAAATTTCTTGTAATTAATGAAATATGCAGTCACCAATATTGCCAGCCTAATGGGACTTCTAGTTATACACTTTGGTCTTTCTATAGGTTCAGTGAGTCATGAGAGGGAGAAATTTTCCCACTAACTATTTTGTGTTTTAAAGGTGATTCTCAAGTTTCTTTTAGTCCATGGGCTATTTCTTTATGCCAAGATATTGGCAAACTTACCAGTTTCCAAAGAAAAAAAATAATGATTCATAAAGCTCACTAGAATGGGAAGGAAAGCGAAGTTTGATGATAAAGTAAAATGGTGTTATTTTGTTTTTAGTAAGTATCATGTATAAATTATCAGCCCATGTTAAAAAGTAAAGATGGTTACATTTAATCATGAAGACTACATATTAAAAGGGGACAATTCATATACTCATTAACTGCCTACTTCTAGGGCATCTATATTCTACCCACCACCGTTTCACTAAAACTTTATGGGTTTTATAGGTGTACATCTAAATTACAAAACCAGCTACATTTTTATATATGCTACCATTCACCGCAGGGTTTGTTAACAGAGAAAAAGCATGAGGCATACTTTTGGGGTGATTTCTATATGTCAAGTACACACAGGTATATTAATTTCAGCATATCTTATTTGCTTACATAAACCGAGAACCACATAATCCTGTTATTATTCAATATTTTCACCCCATAATCACTGCTCATTATGGTATGATCAGAGCTGCTCAATGTAGTCCCAACTCTCCATTTCACAGCTTCCCATCACCAATTTATATTTTCTTTAATTCCATACCTCCAATGCTGTTCTGAACTGTCCTGCTGCCACGGCATATTTCTTTTGTCTGTAGCAGGAGCTGGCATCCTTTAAGGCTACTTGAAGCCATTTGTCAATCTGAGGCAGAAAGCTGAAATGAGGTACATGCAAGGGGTCTACTATTTCAGCAGCTTGGCACGTTGGCCGAATCCCAGTGGACACGAAAGTTTCTACAAATTCATAGCTCACATCCTCTTCATCGACATAGACCAACTTCCCCTCCACATCCATGATGTTCTTTAAGGGGATGTGAGGCAGAGGCATGGTCATCAACGGGCTGTCAAGTTCCATTATCTTTGCCTCTTTCCTTCCAGCTGGCTTTTCTTCACCTTCTGCCTTCCTTTTAAAGGCCACTTTCTCTAAATCATTGCTTTGTTTTTCTTTGATGCTCTTTGCCATTTTTATTCTTTCAACTGTGATTTCTACCTGTTTATCCCCACAGGTTTTCTTAATCTCTTGTGACATTTCCAGGATACTGGGTGGGTTTGCTAAGGTGGACATTTTCTTGCTTGTGTTTATCTTTGGAACAAGCTGATCCGGACAGACCTTATTAACTGTATTCTCCAAACCCCTACTGCTTCCTGAATCCATTTATTCCTCCCTGAAACTCCTGTAAGGATGAGAAGGGTGAGAAGAAGAAAAAGAATTAAAACAATATTTTGAAATTCCAATGGTTTAAGACTATAGTCAAATTCATTTCAAACACTGTTTTACTCATTTACAATTTATAATTGTAATACTCAATTATAGGTATTTATCACCTTAAAGTAAAGCTGCATGTACATCATCTGTTGACTGTTTTACGAAGGAAGTGTATGTTTCCATCTCAAAACTCACCAAGAATTTGTCGAAAACACATTTAGACAATGTCTTAAAGAATGATCATCTATAGCTGAACAATATTGAATGAACGTTTTTAGGGGGTGCTCAAATTCATCACATAGGAAAATCTTATACTTAGCCACTGAGGTCAAAAAAGACAAAAAAAAATCCATCTCGATATTAATTTCCTCAGAAAGGCAGGTGGTCTAGAACTCATTATAAAGTATACCGCTAACCTGCATAATAGACTTGGGAGTCTAAAGAAACCACAGCTGCTTCCCGTGAAAAGCTTCCAGAAATGTTGTGAGCACAATGTTTCCTCGATTAGTTTCTTCTATTAGCAAAGAAAATCTCAAGTTTAAGCAGCTTTAAAGATAACTATTATTCAGAACTGACTTGAAAGTAGAAGAACATGACCTTCAATCTCACATTAGATGTGCAGCCACATATTCATCTTGAGTCTACTGTATTAATATTTTTGTAGCAGTGGTATCAATACTGTCCCTTATATGATGATGAGGCATTTTCCTAAATCACTAATGTTCAGAACAACATAATAACTAACAGTCTTTTGAGTCAAAGCTTTCCACATTCTATCTCTGCTTCTATATTAGTTTCAAAATATAAAACATCCTAAGATTTAATGATTCTATAGTATGGTTAGTGCCGATTTTTTAAGACTCTTTTACCTATCATATTCTGTCCTGGAAACAACTCTGTAGGGTAGATAGGAATAAGGATGATATTTTTCAAAGAAACTAAAGGATAGACAGGTTAAGTTGCTCATCCAAGTCACACTGTTGGTCATTAGCAGAACTTGGATTGCTATTTCTCTCCTGGGACTTCCACTCACTAACTCCTAGCCTAGGGTTCTTCCTCTAAAGCATGCTGTTCTTCAGGATAGCGAATAGCAAATTTATATCAGAACAAAAAGAAAAGAGAAAATGCAAGAAAGAAGGACTGAGTATGATATAAGACAACAATGAGATTAAAACTAACATGCTTGCTTCTTTTCAACTACCACAAGGACAGTGCCTGGCTCAAAATAAAGTCTTTGAGTAGCTTCTCAAAATTTATCCTTTTGTTAATGTTGTTGATTATTTTCATTTGTTTGAAAGATAGCAGTTTGCCTACAGAAACCCTTTAAAACCCCCTGAACTTTGACTCAGTAATTCTTAAGGGAAGTAAAGGAAGAAACAAAATGGTACATAAGACTCTAACCTCTGAGGCACTTGCCTCCTCCCTGCCATTGTACATTTGTGACGTCAGAAAAGGTTTAGGTCAAACATGGACATATCAGAAATTCTACTATGATGATCTCATATTATCTCACAGGAAAGACTGAGTTCCAGTAATTCCAATAACAGCTATCCTGGATTCCCCACTGATTTATACTAACACATTAGAGTTGTGTGTATATGGGGGGAAAACACATAAAAGATTGAAATTTTTGCATCTGTGTTATACTCAATATTGAAGGAGACCATCAAGGCTGGGGATCACGGGCCCCATCAAGACAGCTTTACTTTGGGCAAAGTCCTGTTTTCTTTTCCTCTCTTAGAATCATTCCTGATATCCAATTCTTGCATCTTTTGGACTACTAATGTGGCTACTCAGAGCAGGAAGGGGAAAACTGTCTTGACCATGACTCTGTGTTATGTTTGCTCTTGTGCCACACATGATTCGGATTGAGTAAAAGTTAGCTTCAGTCCTTGAATTGAGATCTCTGGTGATGGACGCTATGGCTATGTGTCTACACCAACAAGTTCCTCTCAGTAGCAGAGATGCAGAAATGGAAGTAGCACAACTCCAACACCCCATATATATGCTGTATGGTTTTTTTAGTGTCATGTGAAATTTTGAGTAAAATTTATATTCCACAGTGTGGCTAAGTTCCAAATAAAATTTGATTCCTATGAATACTATAGAAATTATATTTATGTTCCCCTCTTTGTCCAATGTTGCCTGTGAAGTAAAAGAGATGTGAAGCTCTTGAAACTTGTTTAAAGTTCAAAATATTTGATTCGAAGGATCTCAGATTCATATTCATTCTTACAAGTGACTGCAAAAAACTCTAAAAAGGAAATGTTGGTGGGTGAGCTATTCCAAAATTTTCACGGTACCTCTCAGGTATATTTTCTAAACTCTCTCTCTACTTTAAGCACCAGTGGCTAAAATGCGTTAGAATATCTGTAGTTGGCTGTTATTAGTAACATTTTGAGCCTCGACGGTAGCACTACCTATCTCTTCTGCATTTATTTCACATCTCTTAAACACACGTAAATGTTTAAGTTTATCTTTATAACCACTTCTTCCAGAGGGTAATTGTTCTCCATCTGTCTGTCTGTCTCTCTCTCTCTCTTTCCCTTCCTCTGCCTATTTTTCTTTCAAACTCCTCCACTCCAGTCTTCCTCCTAGCTGTCTCCCACCCTTCCTTGTGCCTGTTTTCTTTGTAAGAAGGAAGGTTTTATTATTTTCAAGAAACAGGCTTCTGAGTATTTCTGCATCAGTCCTTAAACCTCTCTCTAGAAATCATAACTTTGGTCTTCAGTGCAGTTTTGTACAAGAAACAATGATAGAGAGGAAAAAGTGTACATGGTGCCTAGAGCACTCAGGGGGAATAAATTTATAAGCAAACGTCTCATTTTCAAACACCTGGAAGATCAATTATTCCAAATTTACCCAAGAAACAATAATTCATGCTCCCTCAAAAACCCAGAATAAATATCCTATGGTTTAAAAGTGGCGTAAATGAAAAACCATGGGCAAACTCAACAAATATTTCTCAACACTGGTTGCAAATCAGGTGATTTCAGCTTCAGATTTAGAGCCTGTTCTTTACAAAAGTTGTTGCACGTCTACAGAAGAGTTATGCAACTGCTCACTTACAGCTTTTTAAACAAATTATAAAACTCCATTTAAATAATTTGAAATTCAAGGCCTTTCACCATCTAGCCCAATGTGTGTTTGCAGATTTATTTAGCACTCCTTCTGTAAACCGCTCTGAAGTCAAGCTGAACTTCTTGTTACTTCCAAAAAGTACTTGTTTTTAGTTTGTCTACTAAGAATTCTCCATCTTCTTGCTCCTGCCTCATCCTGCCTGTCCAAACCTAGCCAGAAGTTATCCATCTCTCCCTCCTCAGAATACTGGCAGCATTTATAGCCCTGACTTTCCACATTGCAGCTATGCGTGAAGGACTTATTTCTTCCAATGGGCTCCCCCAAAGCAGAAATATGCTTTATTTATATCGACTTTAGTTCAGTGCTTTGCATGGAGTAGGCATTCAATAGATGTTGATCAATATGGACGCTGTGAATCAAAGGCTAATTTACACGTTTTAAGAGAAACAAAATTGGATTTTTCTAAAGGTATGGCCTATAACTTTGTAGAAGTTGTTTCTGAGGTGTTTGGCTAGATTTTGTTTTGTTTTGTTTTAAATTTGGTCCTGGATAAAGTACATTTTCTTCTCTGATAGTTCAAGTGAATCATGTACCAAGTAGATTTAAACTATCAACCTCTTCATTTTTTTTAGTAGTCAAGTTGATTAACATGACATTAGTCAGTGTTCCTGAGGCAATGAGTTACACTTTAATCATTACTTCAATAAAAATACTTTTAGAAAAAACTATTAGACAATCATTATGTATGTCAAAGAAGTATTCACTGATAACATTCTGTAAAAATGTCCATTCTTTAATTTAGAAGACAGCACCATAAAATTGATTTCCTCACAGAGACATGCCTTGAAAAAAGATCTCCAGCAAATATTGATAGGAGACATGTGAACAATCTCCAGGGTTTTATAATAAATACAGCACAAGAAGCAAAGAGAGGTTAATGTTCAATCATTTCCAGGGGATAACCATTTAAAATTTATTCAATGGACTTTCAACGCATTTATTTTTTTCTTCAAGCATTTCATCAAGCATTCTGTTCTATGTGGGAATTTCTATTACTTCACAGATACAATCAGTAGTTTACATGGCTATTAGTACCACAAATTATTTATTACAATTTCAATTGAAATAGGTAGTTCAAACATGGGCAATTCAGAAAAAGAGAATCCTTAAAATGTGCAGTCTGAAACATTCAACATCACAGTTGCTATGGTTTTCTTTCTTTAAACAAAAAAAAGAAAAGGATCTAATTTTAACTTGCGGTTAAATGTAACCAGAGAGACATTATGAGGAAAAACATCTTGCTTGTTAGTCCACTAGTACACCTTGATATTTTTTAAAACACATCACAAAAGATTTCTTCAATCCAATCATTATTTATTGAACACCCTCTAAGAGCAATGTATTGTGCTAGGTAATATGAAGGAAACTAAAGATGACCAAACAGGGTCTTGGCATTCCAGAACTCATAGCTGGGGCTAGGGGTGGAGGATGGGAAGGATGGTGTTTAGATAAATAACTTTATACAGATGAGACACTCTCTCACTAGACTGAACTGCTGGAGAGGCGGAAATATATTACAATTCTTTTTCTATTCTGATGTCTAGTTCCTTCAGAGCCTGGAAGGTAATAGACCTTCAAAGCACATTTGTTATTCAAATGAGTGTGTGGCTGAAGTGAGTACTATGGTAGCAATAAATGGGCATGCCTCTATGGGAATGTGGAACTGATGCAGTTTCAAGAAATTTGCTTTTTAGAAGAGGCAGAATGAGTGGTGTCCCTATCGGGCAATTTTTCTTCTTTTTTATCCAAGTACCCATAAAGAATAGTTCACCATTTTCAGAAGTGGGAGTGAATTTGGCTCACGATTGTTAAGAAATATAAACTAAG